ACTCCTTCAAAAAAGTCACCCCTTAGGGTTTTTTTTTTTTTTTTTTAAGTTATTTGGTCAGTGGTAGCGCTGGATAAATTTTTTTGATTTTCATTTTTTTTGTGTTGAAATTAAAAGAAAACAGTAAAAAGGGTTTATGAAATTAGTGATTTTTTTTAAAACTGTTTTTTTAACCTGCTTGACATAGAATCATAGAAATGCCAGGCTGGAAGGGACCTCAAAAAGTCATCAAGTCCAGTCCCCGGCGCTGAGGCAGAACAATGTAAACTTAGACCATTCCTGACAGGTGTTTTTGTCCAGCTTGTTCTTAAAAACTTCCAATAATGGGGATCCCACAACCGCCTTTGGAAGCCTGCTCCAGTGCTTAACTACCCTGATAATTAGAAAGATTTTCCTAATATCTACCCTAAATCTCCTTTGCATAAGCCTGTTACTTCTTGTCCTACCTTCCAGTAGACATGGAGAACAATTGATCATAGTCCTTTTTATAACAGCCCTTAACGTATTTGAAAACTATCAAAGCTCTCCTCAGCCTTATTTAAAGACTAAAGATGCCCAATTTTTTAAACTCTTCCCCATAGATCAGGTTTTCTAAACCTTTTATCATTTTTTTTTAGCTCTCCTCTGGACTCTCTCAAATCTGTCCACATCTTTCCTAAAGTGTGGTGCCCAGGATTGGACACAATTCTGCAACTGACGCTTGGCACTTGTAGAGTAAAATTCACTCTTGGGCAGAGGCCCAGCACAATGCCTATGCATCTGGTATGTCCCACTTAAGCAAAGTGACTAAAAGTATTGCTAGCATGTGTGGTATCCTTCTGTTCCGAGGATGCAAGTGGTGCATAGGCCTCAGACTGGCATGCTACATGACTGTACATTTCACCCATAAACTTGAGTTATAGTAAGAAAGCTTACCGACATTATTCAAATGATGCTTGTAACATGAAGAGAGGCATGTGCCTAAGTGATTTGCTGAATCAGGGCCATAAGGACCAAAATATAGAAACACAGCTAGGATACCAAAGATGTAACACTGATGCTTATGGAGAATTGTTTACAAAGCTGCTGTTAGTGGTCCCAGAATAACACTAGAAATTCGCCTGTAATAAGATCCCACAATTCCCTAGCTCACATGTTCAAGTTTCTTGGAAATGAAAATAGTGCTGTTTGGTTGTGAATGAAACAGAAAACTGGATTCCATGCTGTCAAAATATTGCCTGTTCTGGGGGCCCATGGTAAATAAAAAAGCCTCTAGGACCACTTTCTGCTGCAGATCCACCATTGTATTAATCCTTAACAAGTTTTTGAGGGAAAGGTCATTCATTATTATGCTTTCAAAGTACTTGCCTCAAATAATGTGATCCTATCATTCCAAAATCAGTGATTACTTTGGACAACATATCTTGGATATAAACATCATCCCAAATTCCCAGAAAACACAACTTGCTTGTTTGGGTCTTTACAGCCAAGATTTTGATCAATAGCTCTTTTAACATTGACACATCCCCCTCGCCCAGCCCCTGTGAAATCATAAACATGCTGAGATTGATAGGGATATTGTAGTAGTTATTTACACAACACATGAAGTTTGCCAGTACATAAGCATTCATCATTTTTATTCTCCAAAATCATACATACAACAATACTGTTAGAGACATGGGCCTGAACGAAAACAAAAGATCTCAAATTCTAACTGAATGTTGGGGAAGTTCAGATCACACACAGACCTCTGTGTGCCCAACCAAACCCCCAAGCTGAAGTTCGGATGTGGATCCTAACTTCATTGCATTAATGCTTCTCTGCTCTTGAACCATGCCAGAAAGCAGTTCCTGAACTTTACAGCATTTCATTCTGGTTTCAGGGGAGCCTAAAATGAGGTGACTTTTGAAAATGTAGGGGAATTTATGGATTCATCTGTAGGATCTGAAATCAACTGCTTCCAGATACGTGTTCAATCTGAAACTTAGAAAATTCAGAAAAGTTATTTAAGCTGCAGGCACTGAAGAGAGTTTTTCTGGGCCAATGTGTGTGTGAGAAGATATAAGGATATTGCCTAAACCAGGCACACAAATGATGAGAATGAATAATGACTCTCATTCTGCTTCTGCTGAATGCAATCCCTATTGTCAAATGCAAAGCGATGTCTATCCACCATAACACAAACCCTCACTTTCTGAGCTGAAATGATGGGCACAGGAAGTATGTTGGGGGCAAGTGAGGAATGGGACATGTGGCCAGAGTGCAGTGTAATCTAGTTATCTTCAGTTGGTGCAAGGTCCCTTAGTGACCACAGCCAATTGGTGCAAATTACAGCAGCCACTAGGCTGCTCTAAGATGCCCCAGGGCTATGACTGGGGCAACATCTGAGAGAGTTGTAGCTGATTCCCTGACAGTCAGGTTAGGCACAGCAGAGAACCTTGCTCTTTATTTTCAAACAGGTAGATGTCTGGCTGTGGATCACAATTGCTACTAGTGCATTCATAGATTCTAGGACTGGAAGGGACGAGAGGTCATCAAGTCCAGTCCCCTGCCCGCATGGCAGGACCAAATAATGTCTGGACCATCCCTGATAAACATTTATCTAACCTACTCTTAAATATCTCCAGAGATGGGGATTCCACAATCTCCCTAGGCAATTTATTCCAGTGTTTAACCACCCTGACTGTTAGGAACTTTTTCCTAATGCCCAACCTAAACCTCCCTTGCTCCATTTAAGCCCATTGCTTCTTGTTCTATCCTTAGAGGCTAAGATGAACAAGTTTTCTCCCTACTCCTTATGACACCCTTTTAGATACCTGAAAACTGCTATCATGTCCCCTTTTCCAAACTAAACAAATCCAGTCATTTGCCTATGTGAATGTGCCTTTTTTGACTGAAAATAGTTTAAAATACCTTTCCTATTCAATGCAATACTGATAATATTTTAATTCTTTACCAAGTGAATCATCCAAACTATTGTACAAAAGATATCAGATTGGTATTTCATGATTTTTCTTCGTGACTACTCCAGAAATTTCTTAATATACAAATGCTATTTCCCTGTAATAACAAAATGCCCTACAGCTGTTCATTATCTCACTGAAAGGTTCTTTTTGGTTGGGAATTTCAAAAGAACCTAAGGAGACCAAGATGCCCCAATTCCATTGAATTAATCTGACATCAGTTTGTCCATTCCTTTTCCCATTTTGTTTCAATGGAAAAGGTAAATGAAATCCAAGTCCAGCAAGTGCTCTATTAAGCCAAATGTAGTAGTGGGTGAAAAAAAATTCTTG